ATGAAAACAAAGGAAACCCTGAATATCTAAAGCAGTCTCATACAACAAAAACAAAGCTGGCGGCATCACAATATCAGATTTCAAGACATAGTACAGGGCAGTTATAATCGAAACAGCCTGGTACTGCTACAGAAACAGATGGATAGACCAATGGAACAGAACAGAAACTCCAGAAATCAATCCAAGCATCTACAACCAACTTATATTTGACCAAAGAGCTAAAGCCAATCCCTACAGTAAGGATAGTCTCTTTAACAAATGTTGCTGGGAAAACTAGATTTCCACATGCAGAAGTTTGAAGCAGGACACCTACCTCACACTTTACACAAAAATCCACTCCAAATGGATTAAAGACCTAAATCTACAACCCGAAACTATCAAATTATTAGAGAACACTGGGGAAGCTTTGGAAGATATTGGCACAAGATATTGGAAAAGACCCCAGAGTCACAGGCAATCAAAGCCCAAATTAACAAAGGGAATTACATCAAATTGAGAAGCTTCTGTACTGCAAAAGAAACACTCAGCAAAGTAAAGAATAACTGACAGAATGGGAGAAATTATTTGCAAACAATGCAACTGATTGTGGCTGGTGCTGTGGTGAGGCGGGTTGACACCCTGGCCTAAAGCGCTGGCATCCCATATGGGCGCCAGTTCTAGTCCTGGCTGCTCCTCTTCCGATCCAGCTCTCTGCTGTGGCCTGGGAAAGCAGTAGAAGATGGCCCAAGTGCTTGGGCCCCTGCACCCAAGTGGGAGACCCGGAAAAAGCTCCTGGCTTTGGTTCAGCACAGCTCCGGCCGTTGCAGCCAATTGGGGAGTGAACCATCGGATGGAAGACCTCTCTCTTTCTCTGCCTCTCCTCTCTGTGTGACTCTTTCAAATAAATAAATAAATCTTTAAAAAAAACAATGTAACTGATAAAGCATTAACAACCAGAATCTATAAAGAGCTCAAAAACTCCACAACAACAAAACAAACAACTCAGTTAAGTAAAAGGCAAAGAACTTAAACAGACATTTTTCAAAAGAGGAAATCCAAATGGCCAACAGACACATGAAAACATGTTCAGGATCACTACCCATTAGGGAAATGCAAATCAAAACCACAATGAGGTTTCACCTCACCGCAGGTTGAATGGTTTTCATACAGAAATCAACAAACAACATACACTGGCAAGGATGTGGGGGGAAAAGGCACCCTAAGCCACTGTTGGTGGGAACATAAACTGTTGAAACCACTATGGAAGACAGCATGGAGATACCTCAAAAATCTGAATACAGACCTACCATATGACCCAGCCATCCCGCTCCTGAGAATTTACCCAAATCAAAAGAAATCAGGGGCTAGCACAATGGTGTAGCCAATAAAGCCACTGCCTGTGGTGCTGGCATCCCATATGAACGCCAGTTCAAGTCCCAGCTGCTCTACTTCCAATTCAGCTCTCTGCTATGGCCTGGGAAAGCAGTGGAAGATGGCCCAAGTCCTTAGGCCCCTGTACCCACATTGGGAGACCCAGAAGAAGCTCCTGGCTTCAGCCTGGCCCAGCCCTATCCATTGTGGCCATGTGGGGAATAAACCAGTAGATGAAAGACCTCTCTCTCTCTCTGACTGCCTCTCTGTGACTCTGGCTTTCAAATAAATAAATGAATCTCTTTAAAAAAAAAAAAAAGGAACTCAGTATATGAACAAGTTATCTATACCTCCACGTTCACTGCAGCACAATTCACAATAACAAAGATATGGAATCAACCCAGATGTCCATTAACTGGACATCACCCTTTCATGATGAAATGGATATAGAAATTATGGTATATATACATTATGGAGTACTGCTAAGCTATAAGAAAAAAAAAAAGAAGTCCTGTTTTTTGCAACAAGATAGTCATAACTGGAAACCATTATACTTAGTGAAATAAGCCAGTCCCAAAAATATATCATGTTTTCTCTGATTTAACATAACTAATAGAATACCTCAAATGTAATATATTGGAGTAAAATAGACATTTTGAGAGTAGATAATTGTTTATAGCCCTTGTCTCTTCCATTGAGGAACAGTGTTTTGTTTTTGTTTTCTTTTCTTTCTTTTCAAACTATTTGTTGAACTCCTTTACTTAGAGTAGGGTTAACTACATGATCATTAATTACACTGAAAATAATCATGGTAAAAATTAAGAACAGAAATCCAAGAGGGAGGGGGAAGAAGGGTTGGAGCACGGGTGGGAGTGGATATCCCACTATGTCCTAAATCTGTATATATGAAACTTGTGTAACTTAAATAAAATTTAAAAAAAGAAAAAGAGAAAGCCCCCACTGACTTTGAGGCTCCGTGCCAAGCAACGTTGTCAGCTGCCCAGCTGAGTGTCAAAGGTATGCTCCTATGTGCAGGTCCCTTGCCAAGGGTTGGAAGTTGGAAGGGTTATTGGTTCAGGCACTTCAGCAAACCTCAGTCCAATTAGTAGCTGACCACTAAGCTAATAGAATAGGTTTCACTGACCAACACACAAAGAATACAGACTATAAACAGTTCAAAAAAGTCACCAGACACCCCCACACACATGCCGCGCTAAAAAAAAAAAAAACCTTTGGGAGAAGGTAGTATCAAATCTCGAGTTATTTTTTTTCTAATTAAAAAAAAAGTGTTATTTATATGAAAAGCAGAGCGATAAAGACAGAGATCTTCCATCCACTGGTTCGTTCCACCACTACCTGCAACAACTAGGACTGGGCCAAGCCAAAGTCAGAAGCTGTGAATTCCATCTGGGTCTCCTATGTGGGTGGCAGGGACATCTAGTTAAGTCATCACCTGCTACCCAAAGGGTTATCAGCATTAGCAGGGAGCTAAATACATAGAAGGGAACCAGGACTCAAACCTATACATTTCCATATAGGAGTCTCACATGGCAGCTTAATTACTGTGCCAAATGCCTGCCCCACTGTTGAATCATTTTAAATGTTTAGTTTTCATTTTAAAAAAAATTAAAAGACATAGAAAGATACAAGAAAGTATGGCGGAGGCAGGCACTTGGTGTAGCAGTTATAATACCACATGGAACACCTATATCCCACATCAGGGTACCCGAGTTCAAGAACCAGTTCCACTCCCTATTCCAGCTTCCTGTTAATGTATATCCAGGGAGGCAACAGGTACTGGCTCAAGTAGTCAAGTTCCTGCCACTGACATGGGAAACCCAGATTAAGTTACTAACTCCTGGATTCAGCCTGGTCCAACCTCAGCTGTTACAGGCATTTAGGGAATGAATCTGCAGATGGGAGTTTTTTCTCTGTCTCTATGTCTCTCTGCTACTCAAATAAAAATAAAAAGAAATTAAACATAGTTACACATGATTCACTAATTCAGCTCCTAGATATATCATATATGTAAGAGAACAAAAGTGTTATTTTTATATGAAAACATTTAACACAAATGTTTATAGCAGTTACTCATAATTACCAAAAAATAGAAACAAAACAGATCACAGGTGTAGAAGAAAGGCATCAACTGATGAATGGACAACCAAAATGTGTTACACGCATGTAACAGAATTACTCGGCAAGAAAAATCAATGAAATGCTGATACATGCCAAGAGAAAGCAGTCACAAAAAGACCACATATTGCACAATTCCAACTATATAGTATGTCCAGAATGGAAAAATCCAAACACAGAAAGTAGTTTGTGGCTGCCTGGGGCTGGGAAGGACAGTGGATGTTTGAGTGTTTTCTTGAGATTAAAGTATTCTAAAATTAGACAGTGGTGATGATTGCCCAACCTGTGAATACACTAAAAACCACTGAATAATAGCTGGTAACCTCACAATTCTGCAAGAGGATAATTTTTAATCCAGAATGCCATGTATGGATTTAAACACTGGGAAAATGATACAGGGAACAGGGTACTGAGGAAGAGAGTAGGGATGGGAACGGGTACAATCTACTTAAGAGAATAAACTTCTCAGCCACTGCAAAAGAAAGCTAGTATTTACTGTTTAAAATGTGAATTCTAGAAATAGAATGACAGAATACTACTTAGAAATACATATAGTAGCAAATACCAGAAGAAATAACTAAAGAACTATCTCTAAGCAGTGAGGACCACAAATGGCTAGGAACTGACATAACTATTTCTGCACTTATTATTTTCACAAAGAATTTTAAATTATTTCTAAAAAGAGAAAACTGAGCTAACAAACACCTAGGGAAAGGTCTAGAACTGGAGTCTAAGGACCAAATTCCATATCCCGGGGTATCTATTCCCTGTATGACACAATACTAAGCACTGTGTCTTAGTTTCCCACCTCAGAAGTTGAGGATAAAATTATCTGTGCTCCTAATTAAGGAGCTGTTATAAAAATCAAATGAAACAAAATAAAAATGTTTAAAAATGAAAAAATCAGGGGGCAGGTGTTGCGGCACATTGGATTGAGCCACTACTTGGGACACTCAGACCCCATACTGGAGTGTCTGGAATTGAGTCGCCTCTGCTTCTGATACAGCTTCAGGCTAATACATACTCTGGGGGACAGCAGATGATTTGATGACCCAGGTACCTGGGTCCCTGCCACCCACAAGGGAGACACAGAGGCTGTTGCAGGCATCTGGGGAGTAAACCAGCAGATGGAAGTTCTCCTTTTCTGTCACTTTAACTTTTAAATAAAAATAAATAAAAATACTTTAAAATGAAACATACTATCCTAATTTCATAATTGCTACAAATACCCAAATATTTTAGATCTTGCTCATCTAAGTGGTTAGTATTGATGACTGCTGAACTACTATCACCAAGATTTACTTTAACTTGAACTGCCTGGATTAGGGACCAGAACAGAAGTGGAATGAAGGGTTAATTCTATGACCTGCTACTAGATAAATGAAACTATGTGCTTATTATCTATTAGACAAGACTTCTTTTTTTCCTTTGAGAGTAAATCATGTCTTCCAGATATTATGTGTATGGTTATCCTTGTATGCCTGTAGATCAATTTTAAAAATAGAAGCATTTACCTTCACGGTCAAATCCTCATTACCCAGTGTGACATGAACTTGAATGGGGGGGTAAACACCTTTGTCGGCATGGTGTTCCATGGTTGCTCTCATTGCATTCTGAAATATATTAGAATTACATTTAAAAAACAGTTTTTTTAAAAGAGAGGCTAGCAATTTAAAAAAACAAATGTACTATTTAAATTTAAAGGCCATGGAGATCAAATAATCATATTCTTACATCCATATTTAAAGTTACTTTTTTAAAAACTGAGTCAGCTTGGGGGAATTTGAAGCATATTTTAAAGATTCCAACCAAATTCTGCATATATTCTAAAACCAGACTTCTAAAACTTTTTAACTAGTTTATATTAAAGCAGAAAAGTCTGTCCAGAAACCTCCATGATTTCAGTAAATAATGGACAAAAGCATATTTTTGAAAATGTAGTTTCAGCTCTATTTTTAAGAACCATTTTAATCATCTAAAAGAAAATCTTTTTCATGATAGTAACAGCAATGATCCTAATATGATGGAGAAACTAATACATTTACACTAGTTTGAAACTAAGAATAACTGCCTTATAAAACTATTTTCATCACTTTCATCTAAACAATATGGGATACATGATGCCAACAAGACGACACCAGCATTACATGTAGCCTGGGAGCACAAGCTGACAAAGACTAGATGCAGCCAAAAAGACAGGGCTGAGGTGGGAATTGGGTCACGGCCCTGGAGCAGCAATCCAGACAGAGCAGGCTGGAATAGGAGACTCCTCCATTTCTAGCAAAGGCAGTGTAAGATGAGGTTCCAGATAAAAGCCACTGTCACTGACATCAAATAAAACAGTTTATACAATATGGGGTAACTGTTTTATTAAGCACCGTAGGGTACCAGATCTTTGTGTGGCCGGAATTTCCAAAGCTAATTAGTTTTAATCTTTTAAGTGCCAATCACTGTTTATTTAACCACTCTAATGGAAAAATTTTTAGAAGGTACTGGATACAATCTTGCTGTCTTAGAGCAAAAGAGCATTTTAGAACCCTTGTTGCTCGAAGATAGTCTGCTTTTCTGTTTTGGGAATGTCTGTGTCGCATTATCAGAATGAAAGCCATCTCTTCTCTCTGTTAGTCTGCAGCTGGCAGAGACATGCTAACCAAGGTGTGAGACTACTGGCTTCCAACTGCAAGCAGCCACTTGCAGTTACAGGCACCTGTGCCACTCCTCAGCCATCTTCCTGTCAAGCGTCACCAGGAGGTGGGAGTAGAGAGGAGACACTACAAAATTATCAGCACAATTTAATTTTGTTTCCAAAATGTATTGTAAATGGTAAATATAGGGCCAGCACTGTGGCACAGTAGGTTAAACATCCACCTGCAGTGCCAGCAGCCCATATGGGTACCAGTTCTAGTCCTAGCTGCTCCATTTCAGATCCCTGCTGATGGCCTGGGAAAGCAATAGAAGATGGCCCAAGTGCTTGGGCCCCTGTACCCACATGGGAGACCTAGAAGAAGCTCATGGCTTTGAATTGGACCAGCTCCAGCCATTGCGGCCATTTGGGGATGTGAACCAGCAGATGAAAAACCTCTCTCCTCTGTCTCTCCCTCTCTGTAGCTCTCTCAAGTAACTAAATAAATCAAAAAAAAAAAAAAAAAAAAAAAAAAAAAAAAAAAAAACAACAACAAAAAAAACCAGAAAACAGTAAATATAACAAAGACCTGTATGTCAATAAGTGACCTTCTCCTGCCCCCTTTCTTTAAAAAAAAAAAGATGATTTAAAAAAAAAAAAAAAGATGATTTATCACTGAGACTGGTGGTACTCTGAAGCTAGAAATTATAAACTAATCTTCTAAATATTTTATGAAATTATAACTTTACTGAGCACCAATGTGTGCCATTGTACTAGACATCTACAATGTTATTTTAGTTATCAACTAATCTTCAAAAATCATCTTTGTTTTACAGGACAGAAAATGGAGGCTCAGAGAAGAAGAGTGAATTGCCGAAGATCACACACATTAGGTGACAGAACTGGGGTTCAAACCCAGGTCTCGTGCACTCCAAAGTCTGAGCTCTCACTACACAGAGGCATCCGTCCATGCTGGCAAAGGCAGATCTCTGGCAACATGAATGGCATCTTTTAATGAAACAGGAGACCCTAGTAGAATATCTGACTTTCTGAGTAGACTCCGAACCTCAGGAAAGCACTGGCAAAGGTTATGTGATACTATTTTACAAACCTTGAAAAGTTCAAACACCATGTGATAGAGATGGGACGGTACATAAACCACTTGTATTGGCTGTCCTGGTGATTTTGCTACAGAGCAGAAGAGAAAAATATGAAAGTACAGAGAGATGTGCTTACAGCATTTTTAAGAATAAATTGTGTGGTGATGAAAAGAAAACATTAACTATGGAGAACAGTATTATTTGGGGAAGAACTGCCACACCATTTCTTCATGTATCAGTGTTTGAACCCCATACTTAAAACCATTTATATATGACAAGAGTACTGTGGTTATTTCTTAAAAACCTGCATAACAATCTAACCATTTTTCTACATGACAGTTTATCTTTCTAAAGGACACTCAAAGTAGGGAAGTGTTCCACAGTCCAATTCACAAAAGTACACTCTTTTTTTAAAAAAGTCATTTTCTAAACATTTCTTTGAGGAGAACGCTGTCTGTTTTATTTCAGCATTTGCTATGGATAGAGAGCTACAGGAAATATTTGAGCCAGCATCAGATTCTCAAGGGGTACTAACTCTCCACTCAAACATTAGAAGCCTACTTGGGGGCAGGGAGGAGAGTATAAAACAAAACCTTTGGTACAGCAAAGAAATAAGACTCACTATAGAATAATCAACCAATAAATCAGACCCTCCTTTGAATAAACTCCCTCTCAGGACCATAAATAGCATGTGTGGAAACTCCACAGCTGCTCAGGTTCCCAAACTGTCATTTGTATATTGTGGTTCTTATCTAGTACCATCATGGAACAAGACTTAACATGACTTTAAAAAACCACCAAGGCATTCTATTTTTAACTGGGTAACTTTTCCACTCTAAGGTCCAGAATACAGCTTAGTAAAAGCCTATTTAATTTTATTCTTTCCCCTTCTGAAAGTATTCTCTTAAGAAATGCATTCCCCTCTGTCAAATTACCACACCTCTAAGAAAAACAGTGAGACTCATCAATCTCTTTCCAACATATCAATCCTTTAGGTCCCACAGGTGCCACTTAGGATAAAAACAAGACCAGTGGAGAGAAAGACATTCCCAAGCAGATGAGCACCTTTCTTTCCTCTTTTACATCTCCAGTCTTTCCATTTCCTACCAATAAAAGGTCATTTACAATTCAGGAACCAGGAAAAGGACAAACCTTACAATTCTGAAGCAGTATGTTAAAAGTCAAATGCAATTTTCTCAGCATATTTTTCTATGACTAACCAGAAAAAAAATAAGCAAAGAGGGGCAGGCATCTGGTATAGCAATTAAGACACAACTTGAGATACCCACATACAGTATCAGAGTACCTGGGCTGGAGTCTCTACTCCACTCCTGGTTCCGGGTTCCAGCTAATGTTTACCCTGGGAGTAGCAAGTGATAGCTCAAGTGGCTAGGTCCCTTACCACCCATTTGGGAGAATGGGACTGTGTTCCTGCCTTTGGCCTGGCTCAGCTGAGGCTATTGTAGACATTTGGGGAGTGAATCAGCAAATGGATAATCTGTTTTTCTCTATCTGCCTTTCAAATAAGTTAAACATTTTTTTTTTTTGATGTGAGCAAATAATTTAAGTTTCAACTAAAAATAAGGAAAACAGGAGCAGATGTTTAGCCTTGTGGTTAAGAAGCCCACATCTCACATCAGAGAGCCTAGGTTCAATTCCTGACTTCAGTTTCAATGCAGACTCTGGAAGGCAACAGTGATGACTCAAGTAATTGAGCTCCCAGCATCTCATGGGACACCCGGATTGAGTTCTGGCTCTGGCCCTGGCTCAGCTCTTGGACATTCAGGGAGTATATAAGCAGATGGGAGCTCTCTATCTCCACCTCTCTGGCTCTCTACCTCTCAAATAAATAAAAAATTGGGAAAAAAAAAAGGAAAAAGCAAAAATGCTTTCACAAAGAATCCAACTAAATTATATACACGATTATTATATATATACACACACACAAATACGATTGTATCCTATTAGTCTTCATATCTAATGAAGTTGATGAAAGGGTCTTTCTCTGTCAAAACCAATCTAACTTACTCCATGTTAGGCAATTAGAAAACTAATCATTGAGGAAAAGATAACATCAGGCTTACCATTTAATTCTTCAAGTTCTAGTTCAGGAGAGTTAATATAATACAAATCACACAGACGCCTAGCATTCTCATAGCCATCTAGTTTGAATCAAAACAAAAGAAGGCATTAAGTAAATTTATTTCTCTTTCATGCATTAAGATGCCAATAGTATTAATAAATGAAAAATTTAAACTCTAAGAAAATACACATAGCAATCCTAGTTTGAGGACAGTCTAACTGTAATATGATGCAGCCTAATTATCATAAAGAATGAGATATAATCATAAAAAATTTGGTATGGAAAAATACATTACAAAGCAGAACAAAAAATATATGTATTACAATAGCTATAGCATAAAATTAGAGTTGGACAAAGTTTAGGAAATAGGTATCCTTTTTTTTTTTTTTTACAGGCAGAGTGGACAGTGAGAGAGAGAGAGAGAGAGAAAGGTCTTCCTTTGCCGTTGGTTCACCCTCCAATGGCCGCCGCGGCCGGCGCGCTGCGGCCGGCGCACCACGCTGATCCGATGGCAGGAGCCAGGAGCCAGGTGCTTTTCCTGGTCTCCCATGGGGTGCAGGGCCCAAGCACCTGGGCCATCCTGCACTGCACTCCCTGGCCACAGCAGAGAGCTGGCCTGGAAGAGGGGCAACCGGAGCAGAATCCGGCGCCCCAACCGGGACTAGAACCCGGTGTGCCGGCACCGCAAGGCGGAGGATTAGCCTAGTGAGCCGCGGCGCCAGCTAGGAAATAGGTATTCTAATCCACTGTTTGATATCTCTTTGGAAGTATCAAAATTTTACATGCATTTAAATTTGCATTTATTTATTTACTGATTTGAGTGGCTGAGAGACAGAGCTCCCACCCACTAGTTCATTCAAACACTGATTTTTATTTAGTATCACCATGGAGCAAGAGTTAGCATAGCCGTAGGAAACCACTAACCAACTCTATTTTCAACTGGGTAACTTCTTCCACTGCTCTTCCACACTAAGGTCCAGAATATAGCTTAGTAGAATGCCAGCAACAGTCGGGAACATAGAACACAATTTGGGTCTCCCACATGAGTGGCAGGAACCCAACCACTTGAGCCATCACTTGCTGCCTCCCAGGTTGTGTATTAGCAGGAATGGGAAGAGGAGTAGGGACTCAAATTCAGGCTGTTGGTACTGCTGATAATAGGAAAAAATGAAAACAAACTGTGAATCAACAAGAGGACAGATCAATGCATATTGATATACCCCATATAGCCATTTAAAAACTTGGGGTGAGGATGGGTGCTGGGCCTAGCAGTTTAAACACAGTTAGGATGCCAGAATCCCACATCAGGCTGAATTTGATTCCCTAGCTCCAGTTCCTGACTCCAGTTTCCTGCTAATATAGATCCTAAAAGGCAGTAGGTGATGGCTCAAGTGGTTGAGTTTCTGCCACTCACACAAGAGACCTGGATTAACTCCCTAAAACCAGATTCTGCTCCCCTGAGAGTGCACATAATTGGGGAGAAGGCTGGTGGGTGGGAGCTCCCTCTATCTGTGCCTCAGATAGACAAAGTATTTTGGGTGGATCCACCCGTAATGACATGGTATTTGTAAAACTTTAGAAAAATGTATAGTATCCCATTTTCTAAAAACAACAAGCAATAAGATCAACAACTGTGCAAGCATATGAGTACATGAACTAAAAGGATGTGTGAAAAGATGCAAACCAAACTGTTATAAATCATTGCTCCCAATATAAGGAATTGAAAAGGGGCAGTGTGGGTTGGGGGCAGGCACTGCAGCACAACTGGTTAAGCCACCACTTGGGACACCCGCATTCCATACTGGACTGTCTGGCATTGAGTTCCACCTCAGCTCTTCATCCAGCATCCTGCTATTATGCCAGAGGATGACCCAAGTACTTGGGTTCCCACTTCCCAAATGGGAGACCCAGAGGGAGTTCCTAGCTCCTGGTTTTGGCCTGGTCCAGCCCTCATTGTTGCAGGCATTTGGTGAGCAAACAAGTGGAAGGAAGATGGCTCTATCTCTATCTCTTGTCTCTCTTACTCTGCCTTTCAAATAAGTAAATAAACTGTAAACAACATAAAACATAAATCATAGGAATACTAAAAAAAAAAAAAAAAAAGGTGGAGTGCAGGGATGTTTTGAAGTTAAACAGATGCCCCTATAGTATCATAATATATTCCCTAACAGGCCGGTGCCACGGCTCACTAGGCTAATCCTCCACCTAGCAGCGCCAGCACACCGGGTTCTAGTCCCGGTCGGGGCGCCGGATTCTGCTCCGGTTGCCCCTCTTCCAGGCCAGCTCTCTGCTGTGGCCCAGGAAGCCAGTGGAGGATGGCCCAAGTGCTTGGGCCCTGCACCCCGTGGGAGACCAGGAGAAGCATCTGGCTCCTGGCTTTGGATCAGTGCGGTGCGCCGGCCGCGCGCGCCAGCCGTGGCGGCCATTGGAGGGTGAACCAATGGCAAAAGGAAGACCTTTCTCTCTGTCTCTCTCACTATCCACTCTGCCTGTCAAAAAATAAATAAATAAATAAAATAAAATAAAATATCCCCTAACAAAGAATTGTACTGACAAAATATTCATCCTATACATACTGCATAATTTAATGTTATGAAGTTATTTTTGAATCCACATACTTGCTTCTAACATTTTGTAACATGATACAAACAGTATTGTCTTAATAGCAAGAAATACACTCAACAGCTTTGAATTCTGCATACATTTTGAAGGAGAAATGTATTTACCTTTAATAACTTCAACTACATTGCAGTTTGGATTTATGCTTCCAATGTGTTTTCGATGAGATGGACTTCCTTTCCCACCAAACAATAAGGCTAACAAAAAATAAAAACAGAAAATGAACAAAATAAGTTAATACCCTTTTCCAGATTTGAATATTGTTTCTCTAAAGGGTACTAGGTAATGAAGCAAATATTTCCTATATTAAAAACATAGTATTTTACATTCAATTAAAACACCCCCTTTGTATGGTAGTCTACTTACTTTTCATAACAAGCAAAAGAGTAAAACTAAATGTTCTAAGAGAAAGTTTTCTAAATAAATTTAAAGTACACCAGCACATTTTATGTGGCTTCTTCTCTTGACTTCTGGACACTTACAGTGCTGATTGAGCAACATTCTAATTGAAATGCGACTCATGTAGAATCGATCCAAGAAGTACTGAACATTCTGGCTGGTGACAGGATCCACCCCGAAGCTCTCCTTGTATTCAATCACTCCCTGAGCCATTGTGGGAATGACGTCATTGTGGCGGTTCCTGATCCGGATCACAGTATCTGTAAAGCTAAGCAAACCCTTCTGTCAAAACAGCCAAACATTTAGAAATGAATACTTTAATGTAAGTTGAAACAACTATACCAGACAAGAAATCCCTAACAAGAAATTCCAATCAAAGGAACATCAGTGCACTTTTCTACATTTACTTATGAATTTCAGATCAGAAAATATACCAAATCCATGAGGGTAAAAATACCTTGAATATATAACTTTCAAAATTTAATTCTAGGACTCTTAAGAGGAAGGCTGCCATAAAACTGTGAAGCGCTTTCTTCAACAGTACCAAGGAAGGCCACATGAGCTCTCGATGAGGGTGGTGTTCCAGGGCCACCCTGCATAAGAGAAGACAGAGAACCTGCTTCCAGGGAACACCTACTCTGTAAGGAATCACAATGAATGAGCCAATAGAGTGTCTGTGGGGAACCATTCCCCAGGGTTCAAAGACAGAAAGCACCACGCAGAACAGAAAAGTAGAAAAGAATTCTATTTCCATTCATCCTCTGAGTTCACAAAATAGAAGAGGAAAAGTAGACTGGCATTAAACGAAAAACTTGCAAATCATCCATCCTTCCTTTTTCTATCACTTAGGAGACAATGCATGATTAATTTCAACAACTAAACAAGGGAGTGGAGGGAAGTCTTCATCATGAAGAAACAAAACCATTTTCCCAACACATTCATCAGACTTCACAATCTCCTCCAAAGTCATCATCTTGAGTACTAACTAACCTCAATGTCATCACTGCTCTAAACACTTCTGGAATTTACAGTTTGTTATTAGTTTCAAAACCTAATTGTTGGGGCTGGCGCTGTGGCACAGTGGGTTAAAGCCCTGGCCTGAAACGCCGGCATTCCATATGGGCACTGGTTCTAGTCCCAGCTGCTCCTCTTCTGATCCAGCTCTCTGCTATGACCTGGGAAAGCAGTAGAAGATGGCCCAAGTCCTTGGGCCACTGCACCCACATGGGAGACCTAGAAGAAGCTCCTGGCTTCAGATCAGCGCAGCTCTGGCCGTTGTGGCCATCTGAGGAGTGAGCCAGCAGATGGAAGACCTCTCTCTAATCTCTGCCTTTCTTTCACTCTCTGTGTAACTCTGGCTTACAAATAAATAAAATAAATCTTTTAATTAAAAAAAAAAACTAATTGTTACACCAAAACCCAAACAACAAAACTCTTCAAAAGCAGTAAGTAGGGCCAGTGTCATGGCGTAGCAGGTAAAGCTACCACCTACAGTGCTGGCATGCCATATAGGCACCGGTTGGAGTCCTGGCTGCTCCACTTCCAATCCAGCTCCCTGCTAACGTGCCTGGAAGAGCAGCAGAAGACGGCCCAAGTGCTTGGGCCCCTGCACCCTTGCAGGAGACCCTAGAAGAAGCTCCTGGTTCTTGGCTTCAGATTGGCCCAGCTCCAGCCATTGTGGCCATTTGGGGAGTGAACCAATGAATGAAAGACTCTCTGCCTCTCTCTATAACTCTGCTTTCCAAATAAAAAAATAAATAAATCTTAAAAATAAAAAGTATGTCCTTTTGGTTATGCATTTTTCTTGTACCACCATTAAAAAAATATGCAACTCAACATTCTCATTACTTCTGTTTATTTCATCTCTTTTAAACAAAAGCAGTGGCTGGGTGGGGGGCAGTGGGTTATTCCAGTTCAAGTCTCAGCTGCTCCACTTCTGATTCAGCTCCCTACTAATGTATCTGGGAAAGCAGGAGAAAATGACTTGAGTGTCTGAGCACCTGCCAACCACGTGGGAGACCCACATGGAGTTCCAGGCTCTTGGCTTTGGCCCGGCCCAGTCTCAGCTGCTGTGGCCTTTGGGGAGTGGACCAGCAAATGGACAATCTCTCTGTGTCTGTTTCTCTCTCTCTCTCACGATCTCTGCTTCCCTCCCTCTCTCCCTAACTTTGCCTTTCAAATAAATAAATCTTAAAAAAAAAAAAAAAAAAAGTATTATTCTAGGGCCTGCGTTGTGGCATAGCGAGGTAAGGCCACCACCTGCAGTGCTGCATCCTATACGGGCTCCAGTTCGAGCCCCAGCTGTTCCACTTCTGATCCAGCTCTCTGCTATGGCCTAGGAAAGTAACAGAATATGGCCCAAGTCCTTGGGCTCCTGCACCCACGTGGGAGACCCAGAAGAAGCTCCTGGTTCCTGGTTCCTGGCTTCATCAGTGCAGCTGCCATCTGGGGAGAGAATCAGCAGATGCAAGACCTCTCTCTCTCTCTCTCTCTCTCTCTCTGTTACTCTGCCTTTCAAATAAATAAATAGCTCTTAAAAAAAAAAAAAGCTATTATTCTGCTTGACTGCCCATTTATTTTCTAGATTCACTTCATGAATGTTTTCAGGAGGTTCTAATGTTTACTTATTCAAAAAGATTTATTTATTAAATTGAAAAAAAAGGCAGAGTGACAGAAAGAGGGAGAGACCAAGAGAGAGAGAAAGACCTTTCATCCACTGATTTTCTCCTCAAATGGCTCCAACACTCTGAACCAGGCTGAAGCCAGGAGCTAGAACTCCATCTGGGTCTCCCAAGTGGATGGCAGGGCCTCAGGTACCTGGCCATCCTCTGCTGCTTCAAGCACATGAGCGAAAAGCTGGATGGAAGCAAAACAGCTGGGACGTAAGCAGCACTCCAATACAAGATGCTGGTCTAAGTGGCAGCTTAACACGCTATATCACAACACCAGTCCTTCTAATGTTGACTTAAAAAAAAAAAAACCATTTGAAAGGAAAGTGACAGGAAGATGAGATCTTCCATCCACTGATTCACTCCCCATATGATCACAATGGCAGGAGCCTGGAACTCCACACATCCTAGGAGGCAGCAGGTGATGGCTCAGAACTTGGGTCCCTGCCACTCAGATGGGAGACAGAGACAGGTTTTGGCTCCCAGCTTCTGTCTGGGCCAGCCCTGGATGTTCAGGGCATTTGGGAAGTGAAACAGCAGATGGCAGATCTGTTTCTCTTGCTATCTCACTCTATGTCCCTCTTTCAAACAAGATGAAAATAAATTTTTGTTGTCATCCCCTTTAAAGACAGTCTAAAAAATGTGTTAACAGGTAAAAGCATAAAGTTGTGTTCAGAACAGGGTCAATATAGTATACTTACTCATAAACAGCTTTTGCATCTTCTGCGCTTTTGTCCTTAAAATCAAGAAGCTCCTGAAGGCTCTGGATGTACCTAAAACGCAAATCAAGAGCCCATGTTTTCTTCTACATTCTGAAAAATCAGTGTGGTAAAAATTAGCTCAAGAGTTACTTTATCCATTTCATAAATTTTTCATTTACAGTACTGCTATAAATGTTTGAAGTAGGATTTTTATACTCTTCATGTTTGAGCAAAGTACTACACACAAAGTGGTAGAAAGTACACACTTTCCCCTTAAAGCTTAGGTTAAATTTGATAAGAATTTTAAGATTTCCTACTCCTTTTTAAGTTCTATACCCCAAAATAGTTTTAAATTTTTTAAGCCCCACTGTACATTATAGTATAAATACTGATTATCATAAGACTTGAATCTGTCACCAATTATTATAGGATCTAGAGCAGTCGAGATACCATAAAACAAGCAGGCCAGCCTACCTTAATCTAAGAGTATAACTTAAATGCCTGTGCTTTAAAATCTGAATTTCAGACGGTTATGGTCAGGCAACAAATATTTGTTGAAAGCCTATAATCTACCAAATACTTCTTTTAAACAGAAATGAACAAAAACACACAGTGATGAAAAGTTAAGTTTTTAATGTACCTAACAAGTCAAGCTAACAAAGCACGCTTTTAGGAATAAGCAAAATGAGGAAGGCCACTTGACTTTCAAGGTCATGTAGCCAAGTACAATGGCACTGCAGGGTCAGAGCTAAAAATATTTCAGGAGGATTCAAGTACCTTTTCAACAGTGTAAGATCTGCTTGGCTTGCTGGAAAGCTCTTTATCTATGACCGCGCCCAGTTAGCAGGCGTCCAGGGGAAGTGAGCATTTCTAAATCTTAAATCCATAGGCTGGTTTGGCAAGCTGTTCCTGACCAGCCTGTGCCTCCCTGCATTCCAGGTCAAGTGATTCAGATAGCTGCTGTGCCACTCTCACCCTTAATTTTCTCTTCCTTGGCAGGAAAAACTATGCTCTTTACTCAACAGATATTTGAGTATCTTTAATGTGCAAGGCACAGACCAGACCATTCAAAAAGCAACAATTTCCATTTTTAATGAAAAATTTAAAAAAACAGAAAAGCAATTTCCTTGAAAATTTTTATTTATATTCCATCACAATGCCTAACCAATGCCTCTTAAACCGCCTTTTCAACTTCTCCATACTTGGCCTAGAGAGCATCTGATTATCATATACAGAATGGCCACATTGCTTTTGCTTATGCTTCTCCCACAAACATTTTGCGGACAGCAAAATGAGGAACTCCACAAATTATAACTGGGAAGTATCTTGCAGCTACATTTGTCAATATACAATGTACCTCTGGTCATCTCTCTTGTTTGAAACATGTAGTGCTTACAAGAATACTTTTAAAATTAGTACTATTAACAGCAAAGGCTGCACATCAATTGTCACATGAGTATATACCCTTAACACCTCCTAGTGTTATTTTAGGGAGAGAAATTAGTTAATGATTCCAGTAACTTCTGTCTTTAAATGGAAGAATAAACTTTAACTTTTGTGATGTCCAAAAAGATCTACTTTAATAAAGTAAATTCAGTTTATAAAAGATACACGTGTTAATGTATTTCATCATTCTGACCACGCATGGTTTAGTAGATACAAATCTGGGTTTGAATTCCACATCTACTATTACTTTCTGTGCATCAGTTTACTTATATGCAAAATGGAATTTAAAAATATCTAGGATGCAGGGTGGATAAAGAGATGAAAGGTAATGTGTATAAATACCCAGCCACTCACTGATGGTAGGCATTCCACTTACAATATCCCTGCAGATATTATAACACAAATCTTAGAGCTCTTGTCTGTGCTTCTGCATGGCTCCAGCTGCATTCAGAAAGCAAACCCAGATTCACCAAAAAGAAGAAAGGAAGAGAAATATCGCTATTGCCTTAAGACTCCCCTGAAGAGTAAGAAAGCATTTACTTTAACACTGAGTAAAACTCTCAACTCCACGGACATCGCAAACACAACATGGGAATCTTACCAGCTTTGCACCAACTGAACAGATGGCGTCCTGAGAAGATTATCTGGAAGGAGACTTATTTCTTTCATTATATTTGCCAATCTAACAGGCAGCTCCTGCCGCAGAAACATAAATGAGGTCTTTTCGCAAGCATTCACCGATCCTGCAACCAAAGGCCACAGGGAAAGCAGTAAATAAAAGCCATCGGTAGAAGTCAGGCAGCAGAGAGAAACACAAGAGTTCTCAATCACCCCAGTGCTGGGAAGGGCCCAGGAGGTGAAGATATCCCGTGCCTGCGGGAGAAGGATGGGATAACCTAGCCTTTAGGGACATCACACCCCAGAATGACCTTCCAGTCCCTGCCATTTCAATTAAATGGCTCTCTACAATTAAAGTACTTTGCTATCTCCCTTTGCTGCATCATTACTGTAATGCAACATCCAAGATCCTCTTACAACTAAGGTAACCACAGCCGTGTCTGAGTCAGGCTCAGCACCCAACAGTAGAACCTGACAAGCCTATCCTACCCTATCCACTCTACTGCTGCTACCATTTAGAAAATCTGTCCCCTAACTCTAGAAAGTGTGAAGACTTATCCAAGAAACTGGGAAACTTTTACCTGTAATGGGAAGATTGAGGCCAGGTAGAACCGCTTATACTAATTACCAGCAGCAACAAGGAGGGCTTTCAGGCATTAAAAAATAAACACAAACACCTGCTCAGCAATCCTCTTCAAGTAGGTCCCATACAACTGACAGATTCCTGAAAGCCACCTGCCGCTTCCTACCCTTCCGTATCAGGACCCTAAGCAGAACAGTCAGATAACGACCTTTGGCAAGCAGCTCCATTTGGTCTAAAGGTAAACTAAACAAGAGGGTGTCTAACCAGGCCGTTAAGACAACAGCATCCCGTGTCAGAATGGCTGGGCTTCACACTGGCCCCAGCTCCTGACTCTGGCTTCTTGTTAATACAGATCTGTGAGGCAGGGGCGACAGCTCAAGTAATTGGGTTCCTGCTAGGGAGACCTGGATTGAGATCCTCACTCCCTGCTCTAGCCTGCCCTAGTCTCTGCTGTTACGAGCATTGGAGGAATGAACCAGTGGACGGGAGCTTTTCTGCAGCATGCCTGCCTGCCAAATAAGCTTTGTAAAAATAAATAAATAAATAAATAAATAAATAAATAAATAAAGTTAGGGGCTGGTGCTGTGGCACAGTAGGTTAAGCCACCCTCTGCACACCAGCATCCCCTATGGGCACCAGTTAAGAGTCCCAGCTGCTCCACTTCCAATCCAGTCTCCTGCTAATGTGCCTGGGAAAGCAACAGAGGATGGTCCAAGTCTAGGGGCAACCCTACACCCACTTGGGGAACCCGGAAGAAGATCCTGGCTCCGGCCTGGCCCAGTCCTGGTTGTTGGGGCCATCTGGGGAGTGAACCAGAGGATGGAAGATCTCTCTCTCGTCAAATAAATAAATCTTTTTTTTAAAAGTAAGCTAAAAACTCGGATTATTTCAGTAACGGATTTTAAGCTAAATTAACGTTGCTACTTTAGCAGAGACAACCTTAGCAAAACTAAGACTGTCAATACTAGGAATCAGCATTAAAGGACATTAAAGGACATTCTAGCACTAAAGGACAACATAGTCTTGTGAAAGTTTAAATAGCATACTTTCGAACAAGGTCAAGTTCACCCTTTCATCATCCTAGGAAAAACAAAAACAGAAGGCTGCGAGCCAAAAAAAAAAAAAAGTTTGCCACTGGAAACCAATTTTTAGATAAAGTCACCAGCGATGTCGGTATCTTTGGAGTCCACTAACAATGCTGGTGACCTGGTAGCACCCCTAGCGCGAAGATAACTTTCTCTACTCAAACTTTTACTCTGTTAACAGCTGATACCTGTCCTCCCCTGTCCTTGCTCACTCCGTGCTGGAAGTCGAAGCGAAACGCCCCATCCGCACTTCCTTCTGCAATCTGTCGCGCACCTCGAGAAAACCAGCGTGCACGCGGCCAACTCCACAACACCTGGTACCGATGCAATTTACACGCGCTCAAGACCCGTCTGCCAGCGGCGGATGAAACCCTGGTCGGTGGCAGCACCCTTCAGCCACCGGCCAGGAAAACATTCCAAGAAAACACGAGACCGGTTCTAACTTGCTTTCCCTTGCCAAGTCCTGTGCAATCATCGTGGGCAAGAGGCGCGTTTCTCAGCCCTCCGCGGAATCCGAAGGCGATTCCCGGAGGCGTCTACGCCGCGGCTCTCACCTGAGCCTGCAGCTCCGAAGGGAGCCGGCCCCGAGCGCGCAGCACACGTGCGCCGGAAGGCGGGGCGTCATTCCGCCCGCGGCCCGGCGGGTTTGTTTTCAACCACGGAGTGAAAAGCCCCACGCCCCATTTACCTGAGCCGTGAGAGGGGCCCCCGCGAGGGAGGAAGGAAGCACCCAAGGCGCCCAGCGGGGAGACGTTAGGGACAAGAGGGCGCTCCGGGGGCGACGGGGCGCCAGCGCGGGCCCCGGCGACCACAGCCCCCAGCCCGGGCCGCGCACAAAGGCCTGAGGCCCGCGCCGCACTCACCGAAGTCCAGGAACTGCTTCATGGAGAGCGGGGACGGCGAGAAGCGCGCGTAGAAGTCCACTTGGCCCGGAACGCCGCTCTCCGACGCCGGGCCGGAGCCGGAGTCCGAGGCGAGGCTGCGGCGGTCGCGGGGGCCGGCGGCGCGCAGCCCCGGGCCCGAGCCGGCCGCGGCGGCTCCGCGCAGCAGCCGCGCCAGCCTCATGCCGAGCCCCGCTGGAGGAGCCGGAGCCCCGGCGCCAGGTCGCCGCTTGGCGCCTCAGCCGGGCGGTACGTGAGGGACGTGGCGGGCCGCGGGGGCGGGGAGCGGCTGTCACCGCCGCGGCCGCCGCCCCCCTCGCCGGAGGCCGGCCCCCCGCGCCGCTGGGCGGGGCCCAGAGGGGAAAGGAGGCGGGGTCAGAGGCGGAGCCGGCGCGTGCGCGCGCGTCTCGGCCGAAGCCCCGCCCCCTCCCCTAGAGGCGGGACGCGCGCCGGGGCCGCCCACGAGCGAGGTGGACAAAAGGCCAGACCCGCCGCTAGGCGCGGGGAGCCCTGCGGATGGCCGTTGGCGCCCGACGCCCTGCCGCGAGGTCCGCGGGGCCATGGGCCCCATTCCCACGCCCTTTTGTAACAAGCCACACCTTCCTTCTTCCTCTCCTCTCACAGCCTCAACCCAAAGTCTGGAGGGGGCCCACAGCGGGGGCCTTCTGCGAGCGCGTTCCGGAAGCGCTCCCGTCTCCCAACATTGCACAGGTGAAGAAACTGAGGCTCGGATGGTGAGCGCCGCGCGTGGGGCCCCACGTGGTGTCCCAGGGACTGCCGGCCCGGGGGCCGAGTTGGCAGCCCAGCCTGAAGCGTTCTCTGCGGCCATTTCTGGTCGGCAGCCTAGGGGCATTTGCAATGCCTGTCCACCTGCTGCTGCCCTCATCTCTGTCTTAGGGTCCCAGCTGGCCTGCTGCACTCTGTACGGGTTCTAAGTAGTGAACGTGATGAGGGAGCGCCAGAGTAAAGCCAGCAATAATAACCACAATAACTCCTTCCCAACAATAAGCAGAACAGGATGGAAGCCCCTTCTAATACTTAGCAATGACGACAAGATCTAGGTTTACCTAAAAACAAGTTAGAAAAGACTCCATTAAGACTGCCTCTGGAGTAGCGGTAAAACCGCCGCCTGTAGTGCTGGCATCCCATGTAGACGCCAGTTCTAGTCCCAGCTGCTCTTCTTCCGATCCAGCTCTCTGCTATGGCCTGGGAAAGCAGTAGAAGATGGCCCAAGTCCTTGGGCCCCTGCACCTATGTGGGACAGACACCTGGATTAGAAGCTCCTGGCTCCTGGCTTCGGATCGGCACAGCGCCGGGTGTTGCAGCCAATTGAGGAGTGAACTGGTGGATGGAAGACATCTCTCTGCCTCTCCTTCCCTCTGTGTGTAACACTGACTTTCAAATAAATATATCTAAAGAAAAAAAAAAAAAGAGGCTGCCTGGGCCTTGGAGATAATGTGTTAAGGACAAATACCCTTAGACTGCAGATCTCAGCGGCTTGGTCTCTCACCCTCACTGTTCGCTTTTCTCTTTTTCTTAAGTAAAATTTCTACTCTCACTGTTGTGTCCGGTCTCATATATCCATGTCTACACCAGGACACAAACTCGGACTCATCCTCTCCAGGTTTCTTGCAACAACAGGACTAGCCTATGTGTGCCACTGGTTTCATCCATAGAGCCTCAAAAGTTGTAGTTAACACTAAAAGCTACTTCTTGTCTCTTCTCTGTAAGGCTGTCGCAAAACACACCAAACACTGGAGTTGGAGGAAGAGGAAGAGCCTATGAGAGAGAGAGTGTGTTTGGGGAACAGGTCCTGTTAAACCTTTGCCCAGGGAAGTAGGAGCAGCGAATCCCATTGGGTGGAGGTGGAGCTGACACTGACACTGACACCTGTGGTTGGGCCATCTGGCCATCTAGCCTTCTAGCAAAGGCAGAGGGGGCTAGAGCCTTAGATGGTGCCACAGATAAGACTGCACCGCTGCTTCTCTATATCCACCCCAGTGCTTGTGTGCTTTAGAGATAACAAAATTTCTTTACCGTGTGCTTTATATTTTTTGTTCCAAAACTTGAGACAGAGGCGTTTCACGTTTCAGATTTGTTTGAATAAAATATCTTGGGGATGGGACCCAAAACAAAACACCAAATTCTTTTATGTTTCAGCTCTGTTACTGGTCACGGAGGGGAGGTTGCTGGAACAAGTCTTGTGGGTTCTTTTCCTCAGCTTAGTATAGAAAAAAGCTGGGAAACAATTTGCAAAGAGGCAGAAACTTTTATTCAATTAGCAAGCGACAGAGAAAACATCTGGTCCGAGAGGAGACCAGGCGGAGTGCCCGAGCCTAACACTGGCTTTGAGAAAGTGTCCCAGGTTTTTAAGGCATTAGTATCTGGTCACTGGGTTATCCTATTGGAGGTGCCCATTATACATGGGTTTACACATACGTATGTTGATTGGCTTGGGCTCGTGGAGATAGGGGGGTGTGGTGGAATGAGAAGGCCATGCCAAGATGGCCACTGGCAAGCCAGCATCAGTTACTCAGGAATGGCTTCAGAACCCACCTGGCAACGGAGCCTGCCTGGCAGCAGGCTGTGATTGGTTAGGGCATAAGCCGCCCTTTGACCTGATTGGCTGCCTCTGCTGTATAAGCTGCTGTACCAACTGAAATAAAAGAATCCGCTGGCTGCTCACCTCAAGCCCTCTTTCACCCGACTCCTGGGGTCTTTGTGGTGACTCCACGCCTCTTGACCCCACCACGCTCCTCCTCTCAGAACGAATCCACAACAACAGGGGGGAGCAGGGGTTTCCTAGAGACTGTCTCTTTAGGGTCTCTGCTAGCTCTGAGTGGTAGATTGCAACTAACTTGAAGGCATAGTTTGAAACCACAAGGTCACACAAGATAACCAGAGTCTCTTGGAGCTGTTCCAACTCTCCCCAGGTGCTCAGTCCCTTCCCTCGCCAGCTCTGAAAGATTGCAGCCACCCTGGAGGTGTGATTTATTTATTTTTTTATTTTTTATTTTTTGACAGGCAGAGTGGACAGTGTGAGAGAGAGAGACAGAGAGAAAGGTCTTCCTTTGCCGTTGGTTCACCCTCCAATGGCCGCCGTGGCCGGCGCGCTGCGGCCGGCGCACCGCGCTGATCCGATGGCAGGAGCCAGGTGCTTCTCCTGGTCTCCCATGGGGTGCAGGGCCCAAGCACTTGGGCCATCCTCCACTGCACTCCCTGGCCACAGCAGAGAGCTGGCCTGGAAGAGGGGCAACCGGGACAGAATCCGGCGCCCCGACCGGGACTAGAACCCGGTGTGCCAGCGCCGCAAGGCGGAGGATTAGCCTAGTGAGCCGCGGCGCCGGCAGAGGTGTGATTTAAAGCTGCAAGGTCACACATTAGGAACAAGAAACTATTAGTGGGGGAGATGCCAGTTGGTTTGGAGACAGGCTTTCCAGCCACAGCTGGCAGCTTGCTTGTGAAGGACATTCTACTTATGTCTGAGGGGCCCACAGACTCCCAGCCCCACTGGCCAGCCTCAAGCTCCACCTTATACACAAAGCCTGCAGGTAGTTTTATTTGTAGTGCCCCTGCATTCAGATTAGGAATGCTCAACCTATACACATACACAGGCTTCAAAAAATTGATGGAAAATGGAATTACCATGGGAATTTTCCACGAATCTTCTGAAGCCCCCTTGTACATCTCCACGAGTTTCTAGTATAAAATTACACTTCATTGTAATGGCCAGACGAGCTTCATCCAGGTCCCTCATGTGGGTGCAAGAGCCTAAATGTTGCAGGAAAACGACTGTGGAAAAATTACCTCAGTTCTTTGTCTCTTATGGAAGAAGACTTTCCAAGGGGACCATGCAGAGAGACTTAAAAACAAGATTTATTAGAGTCAAAGACTTCCAACCAGAGTGGCATGGAGAGGGGCTTCCAAAGGAGGAAAAACCCCCGAAGTGGTCCGTGGCAGTCAGTTTTTAAGCGCAATTTTGATTGACATTCAGTTACAAGGCGGGGACAAAACTCATCAAAAGACCTGATCCATGCTTTATCCTGTCTGGCTTGCTCATGATAAAACGAAAGAGCCATCACAAAGGCAGGATACCTAATTTGTTTTCACAATAAACTGGGAGTTCAGAAGAGTGGAGTCATCACTCCTTTGTTATTCTCATAAAATTGAAGGCTCCCAAGGAGTGGGAGGCAGGCACTTCTGACCTTGCTGACCTTGCTTTTGGAGGAACGTTTGCCACCCTCAATTTCCAGACTGCCTATTAAACCCATTTGACTCTTCACACAAGGTCTTGGGCCATCTTCCGCTGCTTTCTCATGTACTCCAAAGTGGAGCAGCTGGGACGGGAACCCATGCCAGCATGGGATCCTGGCACTGCAGGCAGCGGCTTACCCAGCTAAGCCACAACCTGCAGGTCCCCAGGTCCCCCCACACACACCAAGTGTTTTATATGTTTTAAAATGGGGAACTTTCCCTGACTGGTGGCTATCTGTGCTAATAAAGTGAAAACCTATTGGCTACCCAGGGAGCATCTGCCAGAACCACATTTTTTTTTTTTTTTTTTTTGCATAGATATGTTAACAGAGTGAAGCTGAAGTTCTCCTTGGGAGGTGCTCAGAGGTCAGAGCTGGAGTAACTGGTTTTGCGTAGTGAAGTTGATAAGCGTGCTCAAACAGGTCTGCGGTGGTCCAGGCTCATGCAGTCTCCTCCCTCCTATAACTCTGCTGAGTGTGTGCCTCTCCCTTGGGGCCCCTTCTCCTACCTGCCTGTATTCAGAATTTGTTTCCTGTGTCTAACAGTCAGCTCTTGAGTTATATAAAAACATAAGAAATGAGATGAGAGTCTTTTTAGGCTCTGTTTAGTGCAGCAGTGTTTAGCACAAAGGGCAACACTGGCCACCTGGAAATGATGCCTGTAGGTGGCTGGGGTGGGAGAAGAGGAAAAATAATTTTTCTTTAAGCAGCAGAAGTCCTTAGTTGAACAGGTTGCTGTAACAAAAAACAAAACAAGTTAGTAGGAGAAAGACAAGCAGAAGTTGACTATATATTTCATATATACACGGAGATGCCCAGGGAATGCGTAATTCTCAGAAGGCGGCTGTGAATTCTAGCTCACATAACATATTCAACAAGGAACAGTAAGGGTTTTTTTATTTTTAATTTATTTTTTGGGGGGACAGTAATTTTTTAGAGAAATGTCACAAAAAAGAGAACTCTGAATTTCCTTTACAAGTGGAAATTTCCTTTAAAGGAAAACATGTCGCCTGTGTTTAGAGCTTTTCCTGCATCCACTAGTTTTCAGTGGTCTTAAACTCAAAATAATAAGGGGCAGGCTTTGTGGCACAAAGGTTAAGGTGCCACTGGGATGAATCATCCAATACGGAGTGCTGGTCTGAGACCCAGGTGCCCTAGTTCCTACCCAGCTCCACACTAATGCTCCTGGGAAGGTGGTAAAGGATGCCACTTGCATGGGAGACCTGGGCAGAGCTCCTGGCTCCTGGCTTCAGCGTGGCCCAGCTCTGACTGTTGTGGCCATTTGGGGAATAACCAATAGATAGAAGAGCTCTCCCCACCACCCCTCCCAACCCCGTCAAAATCTGTATCACCATGCCTTTCAAATAAATAAATATTTTTTAAATGCATATGCTGGGGCCTGCATTGTGGTGTGGCAGGTTAAGCCGCCGCCTGCAGTGCCGACATCCCATATCAGCACTGATTCCAATCTCGGCTGCTCCACTTTGGATCCAGCTTCCTGCTAATGATCTTGGTAAAGCAACAGAAGATGGCCCTAGTCCTTGAGCCCCTACACCCACATGGGAGACCCAGATGAAGACCCAGATGAAGTTCCTGACTCCTGGCTTTGGTGTGGCCCAACCCTGGCCATTGCAGCCATTTGGAGAGTGAAACAGCGGACGGAAGAGTCTTTCTCTGTCTCTCCTTGTCTCTCTGTAACTCTGCCTTCCAAATAAATCAATAAAGTTTTTTAAAAGCATTTGTTAAAAAGGCATGGTGTCAGGTAGCTTATTCTGGTACTCTTCAATACATAATACCAGCCTGCTGCATGAAAGATGGGTTAGTTTTGTGCCAGGTATCCTGGACAGCAGACAGGAGAGCGGTTGGAAACTGCAGGAGGCAAGCCTTACTTAACATGAAAAACTCTCACTGGGTACGACAACTTTACTGTGAGGGGGGCAGTCTTTGAGGAAGAGGGGCTTTTCATCAAAGTCCTTTAGTAAAGACACTAGACGGCAGCTTTATTCAGATGCTATAGGGAGAACTATAAGGAAGCGGTGTAGTCTAATGAAAAAAGCACGGGTTCTGGTTTCAAATTCTGCCTTTGCCATTTACTGGCTGAGCGTCCTTTAGAGAGGCCTCAGTCTTCTTCCCTACCTAAAAAAGGTGCCTATCTGTCTCACGGGATTGCTGTGATATGGTATAACTGCGTTAGCACCATATCTGGAACACTCCAGATACTCAATAAATGGCATCTATTTTTTGTCATCGCTGGGTTTTATTATTCCCTTATTGGGATTTTATCAGAACTACTCATGTGCATATT